ACACAAACTGTCCCATTGTGCCCAGTAATCTTCGTCGCTTCGCTAAGAGCTGAAACGGCGGACCACGGTGGTCTTCCATTACCATCTTTTATCCATTTAATTACATGCCCAATGTCTGAATCCATTTCCTGAGCCTTCATTATGTCTTGCGGGCCCACATTTTCAACAAAATTCTCACCTGCCAAATATTCACAATCTGCATCCTCAGCTGGTAACTGTCCCCTGATTCGGTTGGCCACCAACGTCGACCTGTGTTTCTCATTTTCACGGTAAACCTCATGTGTTGCTCGCTCTTTTGACTCAGCTCTATCACAACTTTTGCAATGTTCTTTGAAACATGGTCGTCGCGACAATGCATCGGCGTTGAGATGATACTTTCCAGGTCGATGTTCAACCTGTAGATAATATTGTTGAATCTTTTGTAACCAGCGTGCGAGCTGACCTTCGGCGTTAGCGAAGCAAGGAATGATCTGTCCGGACAATAAATTTTTCTTCCATAAAGGTAGGAATGGAAATAAGCTAACGATTTTACCACAGCTAGTAACTCTCGTCTTGTTGTACAGTACTGACGTTGTATACGATCAAGCGACCGACTAAAATACGCAATGACTCGCTCTTCATTTTTCTGTTTTTGTGTTAAAACAGCTCCAATTGCGACGCCACTTGCATCCGTGTCCAATATCAATGTTCCTTCGTCACTCAAAAAGGATAAGACCGGGGTACTTATCAACAAACATTTCAACCGTTGGAACGTCTTCTCCGTATCAGTGTCCCATACAAAGGGTACATCCTTTTGTGTTAGACGAATGAGTGGATTTGCAATCTCACCAAAGTTCTGTATAAACTTTCGGTAGTAGGAACATAATCCCAAGAAACTTCTCATTTCAGCCAGGCAAGTTGGACGGGGCCAGTTCTTGACACTCTCCGTTTTCATGGGATCTGTTGCCACACCATTACAACTGATGATATGCCACAAGTATCTAACTTCACGACGAAACAGATTGCATTTTTCTGGAGAAAGTTTCAGATTAGCTTTCCTCAAACATGTAAACACTTTCTGTAAATTTTCTAACTGCTCAGGAAATGTTTTGCCATGAACAATTATGTCATCAAGGTATACTAGACAAACGTTCCAAGTTAACCCGGCAAGTACATGATCCTTTAAGCGCTCGAATGTGGCGGGAGCGTTGCACGACCCAAAAGGCATTACCCAAAAATGCCATAAGCCCTCACCAATACTAAATGCCGTCTTCTCTTTGTCTGCAGGATCCATAGCCACTTGCCAATAACTGGACTTTAAGTCCAGTGTGGAGAACCATTTCAAGCCACCTAATGCATCGAGGGTGTCATCTATCCTGGGCAAAGGATACGAATCTTTGATTGTCACATCGTTCAATTTCCGACAGTCTACACAGAATCAAAGACTACCATTCTTCTTTGCGACCAATACTACGGGTGAGGACCACGGGCTCGTTGATGGTTCAATCACACCGTGCTTTAGCATATCACAACGCGACAATAACGTTGTGTCCTGTGACCTATCCTTGAGTCCACAATTTTACGTTGTCCCAACCTTTTGTGAAAATGTTTTCACAATGAAAATCAGACGTTCTTACAACGTTGCCTCAGCATTGTACGCAGGCCTACCACAACGCGACAATAACGTTGTGACGACCTTTCCTTGAGTCCACAAATTTTCGTTGTCCTAACATTGAGAACATTTTCACGTGAGAACGTTTTCACAAGGTAAATCAGACGTCTTTCCAACGTTGCCTCAACATTGATGTGCTGGCTGGGAAGCTTGAGTTCTATTTAGCAATGATCGACGACTTCCATTTAGCAATTATCGAATCTCCAAAACCAGGTTTTGTAGAGGTTGAGCACCAGTAGAGATAAGATTTAATAGCCTTAGTCCAGTTTTTTAAAATTTTGCACGCATTGTTTTTACTAGCTTCCAGAACCTTTTTGACTATAGATTTTGCAATATGCCAAAATGTCATAAAGTGCATTGTTCCTTTTTTTTGTGTGAAACCATTTACCAATACCTCCATTTCGATCAGAAATAAAAGTTTATCTCCAAACCAGATGTTTTCAAGTGCGAGAAACATCTTTTTGCACCGGCCAACTCCATGGCAATGCTGCTGCCTGTCTCGTTAAACTAAAAATGCAAATTAGTCTCTTATACTCCAAAAGACTGTGTTTTAGCTAGATATAGCATAAAATTGTTTAAAATACCTGCAATAACTCAAAATGAACAATCTTTTGAAGTTTGCAGCAAAACATGCTGTACACACCATATTTAGCACTGTGTCCCATAGAATCAAATCTTCCATCACCACACCATGAAACATCTTGTAAACCTTTCACTCTGCCAACCAAGGCAGCTCTATACGTTTTCCAGTGTTTCAGTATGACTGGGTACAAGAATTTTGCTTGATGTTGATAGAAGGCTCTTGCTTGTCATTTTTGCACATTTTGCATGAAACTGGAACTGCACTTTTATTTTCTCGGATATCTGGCAGATTGTCACCAATGCTGGCAAAGGAACTATCTAATACATCTGACATAATCACGGAATCATCTAGGCTAGGTATCAAGTTGATCTGCTTGTTCTGTAATTATCTGCTCTTAAGTCTCTGCATCTTCCATCAGCTGTTTAGAAGATGAACAGGAACCTTCATTTTCTGTGATTTTGCAGATTACCTAAAAAACAATTAATACCAATAATATAATTTTATCTGTTACACAGCTTCGTCATTTAATTGAAAAGTGCAATATTAGATTTGACCCACAATTTATATTTGTTTGGCTTGAGTGTGGCAGGAATGTGTGTAGAGTTTATACAGCTAATACCACCTGGGCCCCCACAAGCGCAGTATAAACCCCCTCTTTTTGTCGTTTGCTGCCATGCCATGTGCCGACTAAAAGCAACGTTCCTTCTGGTGTATGTAGTTTACACTACAAAAGCTACAAAATTTTCTGGTGAACAAACCTAAGATTTCCATATTTATAAAAAAATCTTCCAGGATTTCAGTAAGTCAATGTGCGTAAATTTGCCTCAACATTATCAGGGTTGGGGCTCTAGACACTTCATTTGAAATAAATGTGGAGATTAGGATTTGCGCCACATGTATGGTGGCCCATCATTATCATTCCCATTTTTGGGTTTGATTGTTTATCCATTATGATTTTAATGAGAATATAAAAAAAGTTTAGATATTATTTCATAAATAAATTTTGTTTATATTGAAAGCGTATTTCGACTTAATATCGCAAAAATTATTTTATTTCAACTGTGTTTTTAGTTCAAAAGTTAAAAAAAAAAAAAGATGTTGTTGCTCAGCTAAACTGTCCAAATAAATGCGAATAATTTTTTTTTTACCTCTGAACGGCCCAACGTTATCATTGTATAAGTCCAGTTTATATACTTAGTCCAGTGGCTGTACATTTCCATTTCCTGCGAATGCTGTCGTGACGGCCATTGTAAACGTCGCGGAAGAAAACTTCACCATTCTATATTGTGCATATTATATCATGATGAAACGAAGAAAAGTAAAGGAGACCTGGGAAGACTTTGAAAAACGAGTCAGATTAAAACGAAGCGGGCAAGATCGAGAATTGTCATCTAAGAAGAGGGATCTTGGCAAGGTTCCGAATGATATTTTGGTTCAGAGGATGTCAACTAATCCTAGTGGAAGATTGTTTGAACCATTAGATACGAGAGATTTTGTACCATTCGGAGAAGAATACGACGAATTGTCCGTTGAGAATATCAAAGAAGCATGTGAACAGTTTTATAACGCGCCATCAGGATCATGTGATATTCTAGCCTTGGACAGGGGGCCTTCATGTACTAAAATGGAGCAGATAAAGGGGAAAAAAGTATATTTTATCCGATTTCTTCCACCCAGCGAGTGCAAATCGACCAAGAAAAAACCTGAAGTCAGCCGAGCAGGTTTAACGTCATCAGTCCCTATTTCGCCTTCAAAGATTGAAAAAGTCGATAGTACCAATACTGCAGCCCCTAAAACTAAGTATCCTAAGTCAGTGTCAATCGGCGATCTCCTTCGTGCTGGTAAGCTTGTTCGACCACCACAAATGACATCCCTGGATTTAGAGATGTTTGATGTAGAAAACTGCAAATGGGTTAAATTTTCAGTTTTGTCGGTTGAAATAGAAAAAACCAAGTTTGATAGTGGCGCCTTCAGAGATGCATTTCGAGCCAAGTGTGCTGACAAATCATCTAGCCTTTCAGGAGAGTGGGTGATAAAGAAGTATAGGAATGAAGCTATCAATACCATACAACAACAGCTTCAAATTACAGTAGAAGACCATACAAGAAAGCAGGTACAAATGCATGCTGTTGCTCGCAATTTGACTGCTCGCTTTGCAGCTAAAGTGCCTGTAGAATTTGGGGAGATTTTCACCTATGGCAAAGTATTTTACTCTGAATGGGATAAATGCCTTGTCACCGTAGAAGAATATGTACCAGGTGGCTTCACTAAGTATATCAATAATGATGGGGACATCATTGAAGCATATGATGAAGATTCCATTGAGATTGGGCAGAAAGCAGAGTGCCTAGTTCATTTTACCTATAGTTTTTCAGAGAAGAAACTTATGATTCTTGACATTCAAGGTTCGGGGCTGAAGCTATATGACCCAGAAATTGTCACTACAGATTTAATGGGGGAAGGTGAAGTATACTTTTGTGCAGGGAACCTTTCAACTATAAGTATTACAAACTTTGCTGAGAACCATAAGTGTAACAAGTTTTGCAAGATGATGGCACTTAAAGAGCTTGCATGATTTGAAACATTCTAAATGTTCAATATGCAAATTTAGCAAATCCTGTATATTGATAATTGATAACTTTATTGCTATTAACTTTTGTTATAGTTTGTTTTATTGATTATAACAATTACTGTTTAACTTAAGATAACTTTTGTAACATTTGTAACAACATATTTGTTTAAAATGGATATGAAGTTCAAACCATTCTAAACATTTAACATGTTCTGCTTTAGAAATCTGTATGCCTCAATTGCATTTTTTGCTTCAATCTTTTCAGGATTAGGTATCAATTCTGCACATTGTTGCCTGGCATGCTCTTCAATGCATGTGTAAGAGCATTGAGCATTCATCACTCCTGAAACCTCAGCTACTTCACGAATGTCCTCTTCGGACAAATGAATCCCTTCATTTGTAGCTCCATAATTCTCAGGAAAAGAAAACATGTGGTTAGGGATACCAGTAGGAATTTCCAGTTTTTCTTGGGCACGTATTCGATGAGAGTTCCAGTAATTAATGAACGTATTACACTCCCTTTGAACTATGGGTACATAAACATATGCAATCAATTGTCGATCATGATTAAAGTTTGGATCATACTCGTGTTTCTGTAACAACTCCCTTAATTGTGCTTTAAAGTACCTTTCGAGACGTTCATGCAAATCACGCCACCACCGCTCTATTTTATTACTAGTTGAAGGGCCATAAATAATTGAGTCAGTCGCATCATCCATAATTTCAAATTTGTTTACCAGGTATGCGTGAATGGTGGCCATTTTTCCAGTTTCTGTTCCACGATCAATTCTTAGATACCTTGATAGAAGCTTAGTTTGAAGAAGATGCTCAATATGCATTTTTCCCACAATAAAAGGGTTGGAGTTAGAGACACAAACAAATAGGAATAAAATCTTTCGAGAAAACGTGTCAATGCAGCCATAGATACCAAGAGGAAATGTCCAGTTCTGGTAGCCACAAAGTTTATCATGACCATCTAGTGAGACTACCCATAAGGGCCCTTCAGAAGTAAAATGTCCCTTTGTTTTCTTCCTCTTTTTTTGAAGATTCCTAGCTTCAAGGCCATCTGGATCCAAATCCGCCATAACATTGTAAGTCTAGGAACCTTCACATCATGTTCTGTCCTTAACTTCTGATTCATGGCCCTATAGCCCAAAAGTCTACCTGGCCCATCCAACTCTTTATGCACCGCATTTTTCACAACCTCGATAGGAGTCTCGTAATTAATATATCGAATATTAAAATGACGTAGACGTCGATCTAGAGTGGGAAGGCTCCAAGCATATTGTGGATAATCACGTCGCATGAAATCCAGTACTTCACACCTGCGTAAATTTTGAGCAACATAATTGCTTATATCACGTTCGAGGTCGGCGTTGTCTTCCCAGTTATCTGCCATAGAATGATTGAACACTTTTTTCGTTGATTCGCGGGAAATAGAAATGTACAGCCACTGGACTAAGTATATAAACTGGACTTATACAATGATAACGTTGGGCCGTTCAGAGGTAAAAAAAAAAATTATTCGCATTTATTTGGACAGTTTAGCTGAGCAACAACATCATTTTATTTATTTTTTTAACTTTTGAACTAAAAACACAATTGAAATAAAATAATTTTTGCGATATTAAGTCGAAATACGCTTTCAATATAAACAAAATTTATTTTTGAAATAATATCTAAACTTTTTTTATATTCTCATTAAAATCATAATGGATAAACAATCAAATAAACCCAAAAATGGGAATGATAACGATGGGCCACCATACACATGTATAAGACTTCGTAATATTTACATCATTGCATATAAATGCAAATGTACCCGATTATTCATCTTTTGGCTATTTTATTTTTAAAACTGCAAAGAACGAGCCCCATAAATGCGTAGTCATACAGACTTCTTCATCTAATGTTTTATTTGCGTCGGTCTACAAGACCGCAGAGTTTGGTCGAGCATACAGATTTATTATTATTTAAACGCATAATTACCAGTAAAATTTATATCGCTTTTGTGCTTTACACTATTAAATATGAGATGGACGTAGAAAAGGAAAATTTATCCTTAAAGTGAGCGCTTGTGTTTGATATAAGTAATATGTTGTATATTCTAGCTTAGTAAATTAAATCTACGATGTTCTGTGTGTCCATTAGCATGTGTTGTCCATGATCTTTGGTCACCTTTAAGCTGTGCAAAATATTGTCACCAAAAATTAAGGGCTTGTAACTTGGAAAGTATTGTATGGAGGATTAAGATCAGATTTTGCACAGTGCATTTTCATAAGTAAGTGTCTTATTTAGGACAAAAAAATGGGTAGTAAATTTTCACTTCATAGACACTTTAACAATTGTTTTTTTTATGAATGCGTAGCAGGAGATAAACATGTATGGCATAGATATCGATGGACCAACACCAGATCCAGAAGAAAACAGTGTTGGGTACCTCCAACAGCAAATCCGTTGAGTGGTGATAGTTTTGCCATCCTGCAAACACAAATTAACCTTCTGCGAGAAAGTAGTTCATTTGGTATCGACATTTATTTGGCAGTAAAAGAATTTATTGAACACAACATATAAAGCATATTAGTCTGAAAGGCCCTCAGATCAACAAGAATGTTTTTGAAGTGTTTGTGAACAATGTGAAAAAATGTTTAAGTACATTGTAAAAAATAATAATTGAAGACTACGAGTTTTATTGTACTGACTTTAGTTATATGCCAGTCCAGCAACATACAGTATGCCATCAACAAAAAGCACAACCATGAAAACAATATAGCTTAATATACTGTATATGCAAAAAATGTAAGCTTTGTTCATTACTTCATGCTCTTTATGTGAAAACGAATCCCCTGGATCCGTACATAAACGCTTTGTCCATGTCATTCCTAAAGTGTTGACATTCCTTGTGAATATATTGTCTGTAAGGTAATTACCAGGACATTGTATAAAGTCTCTGTGCTTTTCAGATTGCCAGCCTGATTTTTTATTATATGGTAAGTTGGGTCTGTTGGGCAGAACTGAATATGTGAATATTCACCCCTCCTTAATTATCGTTTTAGTTACGTCCCTGATTTTCAGATGCTTTCAAATCAGCTCAATTTTGAATTCATACAATACCTTTAATCAGATCATTTAGTTCAAGCACCCTTTTGTCAATGACAAAGAACATCAAAATCCCTTGAAATAGTAACTCCCTGTTATTATCACTGAGAAGAAGGGTTTATGCCAGACTCCAAAAGATAAGGCAACATTTTGTTGTGCAACTCCTCTGGTATTTCTCAATCTGTGTTAGCTAGCTAAAAAGAAAGAACAGATGAAAATCATCTAAATCATTGTGTTCCCTGTTTAATTAGTCCTCAACCCTTATTTGTTAATTTGAAAACTTACCTCGTCAATGCACTTTCGCAAATTGTTGTATGGCAAGGTCCTTTACTTGGTGGGAATAGAGCAAGATCTTTAGTGGAAAGATAATTCTCAACAGCTGGGGATAAACCATACAAGCCTGGACCTCCATGAAGTATGGAATGTCCAATAATCTTTCCAACAGCTTTGTATGTACTGGTTTGTCTTAACATTAATACCTCCTTCTTCAACAACTTACAAACTCTCTGACTGGGCCAACACCAACCCCATATATTACAACTTTACTGCATATTAAATGAAGATAAAATTAAATGAGCATTAAATGTGGTATAACAACTGCCTAAAATCTGAGGGCCTTCGTCAGGAGAGTTAACGGATTGTTTGCATAATAATAGCCCAACTTTTGATGACCAACTCTTGACTGTGCTCTTCAATCTTCGATTTCTTTCGGAAGCTCCAGTTAGGCTATTCGTCCTCGGGTCATCTAAAAAATGCAGGTCCATTCCACCACAGGGAATTGGAAACTATCTCGTCGACTTGTATACCTCGCGATGGTATATCACCTGGATTCATTGCTCCCGGACAATGATTCCATGACTCCTTATCCGTCAATTTTCTAATTTCATTTACATGTTGATTGACGTATTGCTTCCAGCTCTTCTCGTTACGAATCCAACATAGAACGGTTGTGGAATCTGTCCAATGAAATCTACGCAGTTCTCTGATCTTAATTACTAGCGGGTTATTTACTGAACTTGACAATCGAGCGAAAAGATTGGCCCCAAGTAACTCCAAGCGAGGAATTGTTTGTTGCTTCATTGGACAAACGTTGGACTTAGCTGCGACTAAACACACAACGATTACTCCACTTTCATAAACTGTTCGTAACCCCTGCAAACGCATGCTAGCGTTCACTAGCATATGAAAACCCTTGTAACTGAACTTGTACTATCTTTATCTTCGGAACAAAGTAGCATTGTGGTACTGTTATCCCGCCTAATTTCTCCATCTCCAAAAGGAGGTCCTTGTAAAGCTTGAGCATGTCAACTGACAGTTCGTCATCCCACTTCATTTTCTCTTTGCACAGTGTTTGGAACAACATTTTAAATCTCACTGTGAAGGGACTAAGAAAACCAATAGGGTTGAAAATTTGTGCTGCCGTTTTTAATACTGATCGTTTAGTTTGCGGAAGTTGCTTCGCACAACTTGTCACCTTGAAAAACTTGAAAAAAAATTCATCTTCTTTCGTGTCCCAGCTCAACCCTAATATCTTTGTCTTGCTCTCGTCTACAGCTTGCGGTCCCACAAAAGTTTCAATGTAAGTACGATCATCTTCAACTACGCTCGCCTTCTCGGGTAAGTTGTCTATTTTGAACGCGTTCATTGCCTCACATTCACCAATTCGATTGCTCAATTCCTTCGAATTCGACTTCCATTTTTGAAGGTTGAATCCACCACGTTTCATAACTTGCTTTGTTGATTCGTAGATTTCAAAAGCCTTCTCTTCACTTGTAGCTCCAGCTGGTAAGTCGTCCACTTACAAATCCCGTAACGCTTGCAAAGTTTCGGGCTCAGTTTCATTGTGTTTTTCAAGGTAATGGTTGATTGTTGCTCCCAAGATAGCACGACTGGGTTTTTACCCAAAGGCTAAACGACAAATTCTTAAATGTAGTAGCTCGTCCTTCTCATTAGAGAGGTTAAGATCGACTTCCGCTACGAGTACCGATACGAAAATACATGGCGTATTATGGTTTGGTAGTGCGGAAACTTTAAAGTGTTAAGATTCTGACTTCCGAAATCCGAAGAAGTAAACATGGCGGACTGTTCATTAGATGAAGGATTATTGCTTGTCGCCTACGAAGAAGAAATTTTGGATGAGGAGGAAACAGTCGAAATTATACAGTTGCTCGGCATGGATCTTTATCCGCCAATTCCTCACAAAAATTATGCGAGATTCTATTTAAATTGACTGGGAGAAACAGAGTGCTTATCTATGTTCCGATTTGCCAAAGGAGATATTCCTCGGCTAGCACAGGCTCTGAGACTGCCAAACAAATTGACGGGATATCAAGGCACTGTTTGCTACAAAATTGAAGCGTTATGTTTATTTTTGCGTTGTTTGGCTTATCCTTGTCGTTATAATGACCTCGTACCTATTTTTGGGCGACCTAAGGAAGAACTGTCTATTATAAGCAATGCTGTCTTAGATTTTATCTATACTGAGCACAAGCACTTGCTTAATACTTTTCTGGCTCCCTGGATGAATCAAGAACATCTTTTTTCATACTGTGAGGCAACCCATGAAAGAGACGGTGCATTGGATAATTGCTGGGGATTTATTGATGGGACGGTATTAAAACATTTCTTTTTTCAAAATTGTATTCAATTCTGTCAACACTTGGCAATTGTACATTAGCAACACATCTATTGTATTTTTCCATATTTAGGTTCGCCCAATATGCAGACCAGAAAATAACCAGCGACATGTCTTTAATGGACACAAACGTACACACGCTTTAAAGTACCAGTCAGTTGTGGTTCCTAGTGGTTTGATAGTACATATGTTTGGACCTATGGGTTAGTATGTTCTGTTAACTATAAAAACCATTGGAATGTATGAGCATCTCATTTCAACTAATTAACATATTCACTACTCTACATTTGCCTTTTTATAGAGGGAAAAAGACATGATGCAAGAATATTTGTTGAATCCGGACTTTACCAACAGTTGGAAGCATACTCTTTCGATGCTACTGGCAAGCCATTATGTATATATGGAGATGGTGCATACCCTGTCACACAGCATGTGCAAGGTCCTTTTAAAGGGCCACACTTGACCATGGAACAACAAGCTTTCAACATATCCATATGAGCAAAGTGAGAATTGCTGTGGAGTGGCAATTTGGTGGCATAATGGTTTATTTTGCATTTATTGACTTCAAAAAGAACATGAAATTGTACTTACAAGCAGTGGGCAAATTATATTTAGTCAGCACCATTTTATATAATGCCAGAGTTTGCCTTTATGGCTCAGTTCCAACCACATACTTTGAAGTTCAGCCACCAAGTTTAGAAGAATATTAGGATTTACTCTGTGATATTTTTACACTAATATTTGTGTGAAGTAAAAGAGAGTTTCAGCTTTGAGATTTCAAAAAATATATACTAGATCAAACACTTTGAAAAACACAATATTATTGAACCTGTTTATACATTGATAAAATATTAAGTGATATCTTTTAAAAACACAATATTTTAGTAAATTTACATCCATTTCATATTTCATTGATTAATTGAATTTAAATATATTTCTTATATGTACAAAGGATTAACTGCGTATGAACAACAAATGAACAATTTAATTTTAATTATGCTTGTGTTAAAACAATGTAACAAGCATTTGCAAAATATTTACTTTTTTGAACCACTACCATTTTGAATGTCTCTCAAAACTCTCAAAAGTTCTAGCTGTACCTGTG